CATATGTTTATAGATCTACTTGATTGTAACTATCTTTGGATTTTAAAATTTTATCGTTAGATATGAAAATAAATTTTCAGATAATCCTGAAAAAAGTTTACACCAAAATTACATGTTATAATAAAATTTGGAGGTACACCTTAATTGGATTGTTTAAGGTTGCAACCTTATAGAAACCACACCCTTTTTTAAATATTACATATATAATCCAAATATGGATCCGATCTGAATCCGGATCCAAAGATCCAACCCAAATCCAAAGTATAATATTCATATCCGAACCTCTGATCGGATCCAGCTCCGATCCGACCTCAACCCTAGGAGCCAAAGCAAGAAACCAAAAGGTGAAGGTTTCTAAATAGTCAAATTGTTGAGAGAGAGAGAGATCCAAACAGTTTAAGCTTGATGCTAGAGAGCTGAAAAGTTACGTTTTGTGCGTGGGAGAGAGAGGGAAAGATCCAAATTGTTTACAGTTGACGCTAGAGAACTAACAAAAGTTACGAATGGCTGAGAGAGAGAGAGAGAGAGATCAAAATGGTTTAAGGTTGATGCTAGAAAGCTGAAAACAAGTTACATCTTGTGTGTATGAGAGGAAGAGAGAGAGATCCAAATAGTTTACAGTTGATGCTAGAGAACTGAGAAAAGTTACATAGAGAGAGAGAGACCCAACTGCCAACAGAATATACAGTGCCTGAGACTGAAACAGACCATGGCAAAGCTCGAAAACCGCAAGGCACCACGTGACATGTCTGACCCCATGAATGAATTTACCAAATATACTGCATAGAATACACTTACCACCATGATTATGGATTCAACCCCTGTGGTAAATCCAGTACTATATTGTCCCAACATTATCAAATATAAAGAAAAACTATCGCTACAACCGATAGAAGCTTGTAAATCCCAGCAATTTGGGCTAAACCCAAATGACCAATGCTCTCAAAAGGCTCTAAGCTCTTCAAGACTGTGAGCTTTGCCATGGCTTCTACAGTAGAAATCAATAGAGCTTTCCTCTGTCTCATTTGTGTTTCTTTGATATTCATGAGAGAAGCTCAGAGTTTGTTTAGCTGTGATGGAAACTCCATAGAAGCTTCGAGTTATCAATGCAATCCTTACGAGTCACCTGATAACTGCAACACGTTTGCTGTGTTTTATGGGAATCCTAATCTTCTCTCTCTAACAAATCTGAGCTCTTATTTGAATTTGAACAGAACCCAAATCATGGAAGCGAATGATCTCCCTGCAAATTCTGAGCTTCTAGAGAGAGATCAGCCATTGCTGATACCATTAGAGTGCAGATGCAGTGGTGGTTTCTTCTCAGCTCAAACTGTGAAGACCACTGTAAAGGATGATACCTTTTCAAGCATAGCAGCTTCATTAGAAGGCTTGACAACCTGCAAAGCTATAACAGAAAGCAATCCGAAGCTTTCCCCATGGTTACTCAAAACAGGAACAAAGGTCATGGTTCCTCTGAGATGTGCTTGCCCAAATTTCTCTCAGCTCAATCAAGGAATGAAGTTCCTTATCTCTTACCCTGTTCATGGAAGAGAAACAGTTTATGGGTTGGCCTCTGCTTTCAATGTCACTGTTGAAACTATAGCCTCTGCAAATAATATATCGGGGGAGTTCAAACCAGACGGCTTGGTCTCAAACTCAACTGTTTTTATTCCTCTCTCTAAAAAACCCACTTTGAAGAAGGCAACAGAGAGCATCTCTATAATGGGTCCAACTCAGATGAGCTTAAAAAGAGAGAGAAAGAAGAGAATCAAGCTCTATATAGTGGTAAGTTGTGTTTCAATAGTGGCGATTCTAGCTATAATTGGAGGAATTTTAATGGTCAGATTGAAGAGGAAGAAGAAACCAGCAGTGGAGTCCAAGACTGGGGACTTAGAGCTTCAGATAAGTAGGACTCCGAAGAACTTAACAGAGGTTTCACAGGAGGCTCAAGAGAAAAAATCTCTAGATAAACCAGAAATGGTGCTAATCAATACTTTTTCCCTGGAGGATTTAAGAAAAGCTACAGAGAATTTCAATCCAAGCAATCTCATTGAGGGATCAGTGTTCCATGCTCTGCTTAATGGGAAGAACTTGGCCATAAAGAAGATTAAACCAGAGAGTGTTGCCAATATAAACTTGAAATTTCTTCAGAGTATTAATCACCCAAATCTTGTCAAGCTCATTGGATCATGTACGGGTAATGGGATCCATTCATACCTGGTTTTCGATTATGCTAAGAATGGATCCTTGAAAGACTGGCTCCATGGTGGCTTAGCCATTAAAAACCAGTTCATAGCTTCTTGTTATTGCTTCTTGACTTGGAAACAAAGGCTAAAGATATGCCTCAATGTAGCACAAGGCTTGCAGTTCATACACAGTTATCTCAGGCCAGGTTTTGTTCATAAGCACCTAACAAGCAGAACCATCCTTCTCGATGAAGAGTTCAATGCCAAAATCGCAGGCTTTGGATTGGCTGAATGCTCCAACAGATCCGAAGGTTCATCTGAGATAAGCAGCTATTTGGCACCTGAGTTTGTCTCTCATCACAAAATCGCTCCAAGTATCGATATCTTTGCTTTTGGGGTGATTTTGATTGAGGTTTTATCAGGAACAAAACCTGAATCAAGGGCTAAGGAGGGAGAAAGTGTTCCTCTGTCTGAAAGGATAAACTCCGCTTTGCTCTCTGATGATGTTGAGAGTGAAATTAGAGAGTGGGTGGATACTGCATTTGGCGAAGATTACTCATATAATGCAGCACTAAGCTTGGCTAATCTCGCTAAATCCTGTGTAGAAGAGGACCCATGCTTGAGACCAAGTTCAGAGGAGATTGTTGAGAAGTTGTCTAAAATGGTCGAAGAATTACCAGATGAAGAGAAAGCCTCAAGTTTTGGTAGTTGCTCCAAGATCAAGACCAAGGATGCTTTGAACATGGATGTCTGATTCTGATGGTTTGCCACGATCTCTCTCTCTCTC